ATGGTCAGCCATCCATCTATCTCTGGTGGTCTTTCTCATACTCCCTCTCTGTCGGTCGTATCGTCAGCTTTGTCGTGGCAACGGGAGTGGTGCCATGCCCCCCCCAACTCCAAACATTGCGATGTAATTGCATGCCCATCTGGCTGTAGTCCTCTGTGGAATGTGACCTTGCAGACTGCAGGTGTGATTGTGATTTGACCTTTTTGGCTTATGAAACGGTCCCTGTGTCTTTGAAACTTTGCCCCTACTCCCATCCCCAAATAGCCCCCACAGCCTGTAGTGGAGTCGGTTGACCTTATTTTTTTTTTTTTCCCCTCTCTTTTCTGCTCCTTTGCCCGTCACAAGCAAAATCCAGGTTCACACAAGTGCTGTTTTCTCATTCTTATTCATGCTGTCACCTGCCGAGACGAGTGAAGGGGAGTCTCCATAAAAGGCTGAGTGATAACTTGAGCCACCCTGCCTGCCATCACTGCCTTCCCGTATTAAATGACCCACAGGCCTCGGAATTTCACCCCCGGCAGTTTGGCCTGGGAGTCCTGCTTCCCCATACCCCCATTGACGTCACTGAATGGTAATAGTGTAACGGTTTTGAAACCGACACCAAAACCACGATACAAGCATTCATGATCTTGTGTTGAGGTTCCAATCATACTCGAGTGATCACGCCTGCGGTAGTATAACCAAAATGTTACTGATTAATAAAACCCGGATATGTTTCTTGTTTTCTTATCCCCATTCCCCCAGTAAAACTGAGGTTTGAACCAAACCGTGGATTGTTACACCCCCACTAAAGAAGGCACATGAAAGACCCCGCTGAGCATAGCTGGAGAGGGTGACGCTATTGGCTCAGACCACACTCTTATGACTGCCCGTCCAACCAGTGCACCCATGCTATTCAGGAGCCCTTTTACTGGATTCTATAAACATATGGTCATTATGAGGTTTTGATGACCTGAAAATAAGAGAAGGCCAGTATGGTGTTTAATTTGTTCTGATGTGTTGATTATTTGGGAGTCGGGATGGGACGATTCTCTGCAGGAATCCCTGGAGTGTGGCTCCTGTGCGGACCCAAACATTCAGTCTTGGGTGAGTCCTGGATTGTGGACATTTGAAGGGCACTTGGCTTGCAAGGTCTGATCTGCTGCTCTTGGTGGCTTTGTGGTCCACTGAGCTTGAATGGAAATAAAGCCGGATCTGGGGGTGGGACCAGCTGGCCCCGTCATCGGCTGTCACTCCGCGGCCCCAACAGCAGGGAAGTCCCCCCCCACCCCCCTCCCGCTTATGTGCACCTGGGAAGTTGGATGGTGACACCTGTGTCCTGTCGCTGTCTCCTTCCAGATGTTATTTTTCAGGTAATTCCATGGTGACGGCAACACAAGGACCTTAAAGAACTTGCTTCTCCCTGTGTTTCATTGTTTCCTGAGAAAGATCATTTGTACTAGTATGAAAACACACTCGGATATAATATGTATATTTAAAATATGAAACATTTTTATATTAATTATTATTAAAAGAAAAGTATCTGTCTTTTAATAAAAGACTATGATAAATTACTTAATTACAAAGGATCTTTAATAGCCAAAAGCATTCAGGTGATTGATTATAATTAACTTGAATAAAGTTAGTCATACAGTACATGGTTAAACACATTTCACTTATGTTTGCTCAGCCGTGGTTATGAAGCTCCTTGTGAACGATCTGTAATTGCTAGTAGATGTGACATTGAACCCTCACTGAAGAGCCTGGGAATCGAGTGACTGGAGAAAAGCCCGGAGCATACAGTCAGCCGTTTTGGGAAGCACTGCGTGACGCTCCTTTGGCCCCTCCCCTCCCCTCCTTCCTGTCCAGCCCCCCCTCTTCGCTTTCTGACACTGGCCCCCGCCTTCCTGTAAGGAATGGGCTCTCCCCGCTGGCTCCAAGGACCACCATGGCCCCAGTCCTGTCCAGTGGTTCCCCATGCTCTCCTCACTTAACAACATCTCTGCTGGCCGTATCGTATTCCTGTCGGTGGAGGTCAGGCGGCCCCAGCCGGCTCCCCAGCTGAAAAGGAATAAATGGTGGGGTAGGGGGTAGTTCTGCCCACTCTCTGCAACGTGGAGCTATGCAGGACTGTCATGTCCATACGTGGCCTGGAGGGCTGGAGCTGCCATCGATCCGCTCCAGGAAACGCTGAGGTGCACCCAGCTGCCTTTCGGCGGGACCCGTGCTCTTTACCAAGCCTTTGGAAATCCCCGGCTGCCTGGTAGACTCAGCTCCCCTTTCATGCTGTAACGATTTTCGAATGGGCCCAGTCGACAGCGGACTCCCTGACCCTGTCTTGTAGGGTCTCGGGAAGTTGCTGTAAGTTTTAACGGTACAGCGTGAGCGGTGGAATGAGCAGGCAGAGTCCTGAGACTCGTACTGAAAGTGGATTGTAACCTCCCAGATGCACTGTACCGCAGCCGGCATATGCCTTAAACCTTGTGTGTCCTTTTAAGGTGGAATTTTATATGCCCTGAAAGTGGTCCCTGAGGGACTTTGAGTTCCCCTTGCCGACCTCCCTCCCAATCAGTATGATGAACACCTACATGTCTCTCAAGGATTAATTGGCTTGATTTACAATGTTTCACCCAAGGAATTGATGAACGCCATCCCCCCGCCCCCCCACATGTGATCTGACAGGCTGTCATACTCGGCATTTGTCTCATTGCCTGTGTCCTCCCGTCTGTCTGCACGCTGTCTGCGTCTGTCTTCACAGCTCAGTGTTAAATCCCCTTTTTGACTGTTAGATATGCCCGCAACACAGCAGCCCCTTTGGAGAGGTGGGGAGCCGCACCAAGCGTTCATCCGCCAGCAGTAATGATCTGTGTATAAAGATCAGCGGAAGGTTGTGCTGATCGCCATACTGTCTGACTGTGGTGGGGACAAGTGGCGTTTGCTGGGATAACCTGCAGCATCCTGCTGTGGTCCCATGGCTTATTTCTGAATCATGAATATTCTGAGCACCCTAATGCAGTGTCTGTTTCTCCAACAGGGACCTTCCTTTAGCTACTGTCTGAGTTCCTTTCGCTGTCCACCACTGGGCTGTGGAAGGCCTTTTGTGATTGGCTGTTTGCGTGGAGTCCATAACGGTACAGTTAACTTTACATTCACTTTTCCGGCTGTAATATCTTTCAACAAAAGCATGCAACACCCTTGGTTTCCAGATTTCTTTACGGGTGAATTTTAATTAATATTTCAAAGTTTCTATGTGCACTTCACGTTCAACAGCCCAGCTATCGTTCTTACATTGCATATTTCGGTGTCATTTATTACTAATTATTATGTATAAGAATGCAGAAGGCAGTAATAGGCGGATCAGATGGCTCAGAGAGGAGAAAGAAAAGGCAGCGTGAGGTGGACCGGAGACAAAATGTCTGCTCCTTCCGTGTGCCACGCCCCCTCGTTAACCTCGTGTGGGATCCCCATGTGATCAGCTGTTTCTGGTTGTTGTCATTAGTCCTCTGTATTAAGTCCTCGTTTCAGTTTGTTTCCCCAGTCCGGTCATTGGGTGCGTTCGACTTGCTTACAGCACTGGCTTAAAGCAACGCATTCTGATCCTGACGCAATGCATTACGGTTAGATGCATTGCGATCTCTCACCCGGCTGCACAAACTGGAACCGCCTCCGTGACGACACACCTTTGCCCTTATTGGCTGAAGAGTTTAGTTACACGCATGACGTTTGTATCCCAGGCAGTTCAGATGCGTAATCTGCTATTTCTCCCAAATATCACGTAAAGCAGTGAGAACTAAATAAAGTTTAAATAAACGACATAAATGCTCTAATAGTACACGTAAGTTAGTGGTTTATTTATTGTTAGTTGCTGTAATGTTGCGCTGCTTTATTTGGTTAATCGTCCAGCCTGTGATGAAGGCATTCAAGTAAGAATTGCATTGTAGTATGACTCATTTCCTGGCGCGTACAATTTATATTAGGTCGGTGTTCACGGTTTGACTTCTGATATTGAGATCGAGTTCTAGGTCAAACTGGTTTGTTCGACTTTCAAGAAATTCGAGTTCTAGTGAGTTCGAGAACCGAGGTACCACTGTAACATTTTTGCTTTTCCCAGCATGGCAGTAGTCGCTGTCTTGATGAGCAGTAAAAGACTGCATCTCCCTTTCTCCCTCTCCCCCTCTCTCACTCCCTCCCTCCTCCTTCTCTCTTCCTCTCTCGCTCCCTCCCTTTCCCCCTCCCCCCTCTCTCTCACATGTACTCCGGTTCATGCTCTCCAGCCGTTATCGAGCGCTTCTTACCCGCCACATATCTTCCACTAACACACCTTTCGCCTGCACCATGGCCGGCAACAGTTGCGCTGAAGCTTAATTAGTGCCGCTTAGTTAGCGAGGCTGTGTGCTGGGGGAGCTGTCCTTGCCCCCCCCCCCCCCCCGCCTCCTCTGCTGGGCCCGGGGGGCGCCTATGGAGTACTGAGGCAGGCGGCTCTCCGTCTCGCCAAAGCATCTAAAACCCCCCCCGGCCCCTCGGGGCATGCAATGTCACTATTTTAACAGACACTGAAAAAGGGCCAGATGGAGAGCGAAGGCAGTGATGTTAATAAAAAGCTTCATTCGTTTCCACTTCTTCATTTCCTCCATTTCCTTTGTACACTTTGCGATCAGCCATTTTAAGACTGCTGTGCAAGTACTAGTGAGATTCTACAGCCTGGTGGGTACTGAAAGTGTTACTATGAATTGTGAGGAGAGTCATCAAGAGGCCTTGCATCACTGATTGGTGAAGTATCTCGTGCAGAGGTGCTGCTCAGTTGGTTTGGATGCATTGCCTGCAATTGAATGGTCTCTGGTTCTTGGGTCAGCAGGGTCATTCGCCCTTGGGCCCCTGAGTGAGGCCCTTAACTCCCAATTGCTCCAAGGATTGTCTGATAGTTTGTAACTATGATACTCCTTTCTTAACTGGTTCTGTAGTCCACAGCAAGTGTTGTACAGTTGGTAAAATTCCCTCACTCTCTCCATGTTATTTGCCAGCACGCCATGCCTATCTATCTCCTCACCTCTGCTGGGGATTCCAGGACTCAGGTTCCCCCGCACATGCAGCGAATTGCCGTCCGGAGCCTGGACCTTGGCTCGTCCTGCCTGGATAAGTTCGTGAAGGTCAGGGTGCTCCACCTGCTTTTCTGAAATGCCTCAATTTTTCCTGTGCTCTTTGCTCTGCAGTTAGCCAGCCTCTGTAATACCGAGACACAGTGGCGGGGTGCTTGACGTTCTTACCAAAACACAGTGGCTGGATGCTTGACGTTCTTACCAAAACACAGTGGCGGGGGGCTTAATGCTTTT